ATTATATTTGAGGAGGAAGCATGGAAATTTACATCATGCTAATTAGTAGAGGTGATAAACAATACCATTAAAATCTACCCAATGACTTTATAGACATACAGAGGCGCCGAGGATCCAAGCCCAACCAATTATGACTAGTAATAATCAGACAGATACAGATTAGAGATGCAAGTGCCAACATCTCAGTGTTAGCAAAAACAATGAGTTTTACTGTAAGGAACAATATATTCTAAAATGAAATGGAGATCGTTTTTAAAGGTTAAAAACTCACCCAATTTTATGTCTTACAGGGCTTATACTGATTTCAATAATACATAACTATATTAATTCAACTGTGAACCTAGAAACTTTCACCCACTTGTGAAAGGGATGTACTCTTGCTCTGGAGTATGTTACTGAATATGCTAAAGCTGTAGTGAAATACTTCTTCTAATCATGTAGTTATTAAAAATTTTAAAAAATGGTTAAGAAATAATTCTTCAAGGCATAAGAATTTGCTCCTTAATAATTAGTAGATGTGAAAAACATTACCACTGAAATCTACCTGATGACTTTATATCCATGCTCAGATGCCAAGGAGCTCAGAAAGTAATCGGCTTTGACTAGTAATAATCAGATATATAGAGATTAGAAATGCACATGCACACATCTTAATGTCAATTGCATTAAAAATGAATTTTTCTGTATGAAATTGTGTATTTTAATAATGAAATGGAGATCTTTTTTAAAGGTTAAAACCTCATTTAATTTTATGTCTTATAAGGTTTATACTGAGTACAATATTGTATTACTGTAATAATTCAACTGTAAACCTAAAAATTTACAGCCAATTTTGAAAGAGATACATCTTAGCTCTGGAAATTGTTATTGAATATGTCAATGCTGTTGTAATGAAATGCTTCTTCTAAGTATGTGGTTATTAAATAAATAATTAAGAAAAAAAAGGATATTTGAACACAGATACCCTGCATGGGTGAGCTTATTTGGGCCTAAGGTTACAGAGGGAGGGTCCACAATAGTGAGTGAAGCATAGTGGCAGGAGGCAGCCAGAGCAGAAATCTGAATGCTCACATTTTTAATCATTCACAGGGAGCAGAGAGAGCAAGCTGGAAGTGAAGCAACAATGAACTCTCAAAGTCTAACCCCAATGACATACTTCCTCTAGCAAGGTCACATCTCCTACAGGTTCCATGATCTTCCCCAAATTGTACCACCAACTGACCAAGTGTCCAAATACTTGATACTATGGGGGATACTTCTTATTCAAACCATCACATGTAGACTGGTCTAGAACTACCTATATAGATGAGTTTGAATTTCTGATCCTGCCGTCTCTACTTCCCCCATGTAGGGATTATAGACATGGACCACCGTGGCCAATTTATGAGGTGCTGGGGATGGAACCTAAAGCTTTACTCCATGCATGCTAAGTAAGCACTCTACCAACTGAGCCACATTCCCATCACAATTTTCATACCTTCTGAGGCTGGAGAGATGACTCAGCAGTTAAGGGCACTGGCTACTCTTGCAGAGGACCCCAAGTTTGGTCCTCAACACCATATGGCAGCTAACAATTGTTCTTAACTCCAGCTCCAGGGGATCCAACACTGTAACCTGGCCTCTATGGGCATTGCATACATGGGTGCACTTACATACATGCAGTAACATGTCATACACAAAAAGCAAATATAAATAAATTTAAAAATCATACCTTCAATGCTAATGAATATTTGGGAAAGAACAATTAAGAAAACAAGTATTACTAGAAAGGCTCAGAAATAACTTCCCAGACACAACTCAATAATCAGATCAACATTCATGAACATGAACATGTACTTATGGTTTTTATTTTAGATAATGTAGATATAGTCATCATTTCTCACCATAAAATTAGCCTTTATTTTTATGAGAATGAAACATGTTAGTATGTAGTTGTTAGTGTGTAGTTGCATCACCAGGGACAGAGCATTAAGGACCACTTCTATCTAAGCAAATCTGAGTTCCTAGGTGAAGTATTTATATCCTTCATAACTCAACATTCAGTGGACTGGCTTCAGTACTTTTCAAAGGGTTCACTGAATGCAAACATTTATTTGACACTTAACATATAATTTGGATGTTTTTGAGATACAATCTCACTCTGTAACCCATATGGTTTTGAAGGAGGAACCTCCTGCCTCAGACTCCCAATTGCAGGTATTACAGATGTGAGTTTCCATGACCAGCTTTACTTAACAAAAAAAATGTATTATTTTAAGAAATATTTTCTTATTTTTATTTTATGTGTATGAGTGTATTACTTGAATGTACGTAAGTACACCCATATCATACAATACCTGCAGAGCTCAGAAGAGGGCATCGGATTCCCCTGGAACTGGAGTTAGGACAGTTGTTAGCCACTGGGAATGGAACCTAGGTCCTCTGCAAGAGCAGCCAGTGCTCTTAACCTGAGCCATTCTCCAGCCCCTATTTATTTATTTTTACTTTATGTGTATGAGTATTTTGCCTGCATGTATGTAAGTGCACATGCATCATGCAATGTCCATACAGGCCAGAAGATGACATTGGATCCCCTGGAACGGAGCTACCGGTAATTGTCAGTCACCATTGAGGTGGTGCTAGGAAACAAACCCAGGTCCTTTGAAAGAGCAGCCAGTGCTCTTAACCGCCAAGCCATCTCTCCAGCCACCCTCCACCCCTCAATCCTGTTTTTACTTTTTAATTCTTTTTTCCCCCCAATTTTTCACAAATTGAAGTTGTAAATATGAGGTAGCAGAGAATACCTTTTACCAAAATCACTCCCTGGAGTTCCCTGAAGGTAGCATCTCCATAAAAGTGCTAATTGGAAGGTATTTATCTGAAGAAAGGTATTATTCCTTGAGGCAGGCTGTTTACCTTAATCAACATTTCTCTAATACTCATCAGTGCTTTGTAGCACTTTCCCAAGTGTCAATTGTAGCTGGCCAGTTCTCCTCAATTGTGGAGGCTGCAAAAGGAGGGAAACAGAAAGGAAACTCAGTTCCCTGGGGGCTGTTTCTGCCATTGTGAAGTGTAACTTCTTTCATCCTTTTCATTTTATGTAGTCATTAGTACATGGATGGTGCTAGAAGTGCTGGATGAACGGATTAGTCAGTGTGTGTGAAAGGTGGGTGTTCCCTGTGTTTTCATATTTACTGTACTTTAAGGCAATCAAGTTTTGAAATTGAAATTACAAATTGCAGACTAAATCTATTCACACTAGAACTAGAACCTGCTCATTATCATAGAAATTTTTCCCTTCAGCAAACATAACAGGGATACAAAAAAAAATTAAAGAAAAAAAAAGTTATTTTTTGAGACTGGGTCTTACGTAGCCCAGGCTGGTTTAAGGATGTGCTTGAATGTCTGATCCTCCAGCTTCCCACTCTAGGGCTAGGTTTAGGTGCACTACCATACCTGGTTTATTTAATGCTGGAAAGCAAACCCAGGACTTTGTGTGTGCTAGGCAAGACTACCAACTGAGTCACATTCCAACCATCAAGAACAAAAACTGATGGATGGGACATCCACACTGTGTCCGCTCAAATTAAACACAGTAAGCCCTTCTCATTCTTTTGTGCTCTGCATCCACAGATCCAATCAACTGCTAATTGAAAATACTGAGGTGGAAAAAATCCACATTTGTACTGAGCACGTACAGATTTTACCTTGTCTTTACCTGTTCAATAATACAGCAGAATGACTACATAGCACTCAATCATGTCAGGCATTGTGAAGAATCTAGAGTTGATTTAAAAGACACAGGAGGATGGATGTGTGTAGGTCACACGCAAACACTATGCCACCACATATAAAGGGGCTCTATGCTTTTATGGATCTGCAGGGAGGCCTGGAAACAATTCCCCCAGGACACCGAAGAAAGACAGCAGGTCTCTGATCTGCAGGAAGATAATGTCACTTGTTTAAGATTTAGTGCTATTTTTCATTTCTAGATCAATATTTAGCACACAGTATAATAATCAGTGTCAGCAAGTATCAAGAAAACTGTGCTGCAGAGATGGCTCAGTAAAATGCTTCAATCCATACGAACATAACTGTGAGTTCTGCTTCTAAGCACTTACCAACTCTGGAGAGCTGGAAACAGGAAGATCCCTGGACTTGTCCAGCCAGTCTAGGCAAATGGATAAGCTCCAGGTTCAGTGAGAGACCCTGTCCCCCAGAATAAGGTGGAGGGCCAGTAAGCTAGCTCATAAGGTAAAGGCCTTGCTGCCTAGCCTGAAGACCCGAAATTGAACCCTGGACTCCATGTGGTGGAAGGAGAGAAGTGACTCCCAAAAGTTGTGCTTTAACCATCATATGTGTGTATGCCCCCTGTCCATGCACACAAGCACACACACACACACACACACACACACACACACACACACACAATAAATAATTTTTTTCTGAGACAGGTCTCACTATGTAGTTCTTGCTGGCCTGGAATTCAGAGTTCCAGAATGTTGGGATTGAAGGCCTGAACCACCATTCCCAACATGAATGCAATTACAAATTCTTCTATTCATTTATATTTTATATGAGTGTTTTTTTTTTTCATGCATGTAATTGGATCACATGTGTACAATGCTTGTGGAGACCAAAAGAGGGTTTAGAATTCTGGACCTGGAATTATGGATGGTTGTTAGCTATCAGGTGGGTGCTGGGAACTGAATCCAGATCCTTTATAAGAGCAAGCAGTGCTCTTAACCTCTGAAGCTATCTCTCTAGCCCCATGGATATGTATTTTTTTTAATTAAAAAGTAAAGTAAGGTGGACAGCAATGGAGGAAGGCATCTGATGTCAATCTTTGGCCTACATGTATCTGTAGGGACACAGACACAGACACACACACACACACACACACACACACACTCACTCACACAATAAATAACTAAATAATAAATAAAAAAGAAAATAAAAATCCACCTAATAGTTGGATATGTTGGTACATGCCTTTAATCCCAACACTCCAATGGCAGAGGCAGACAGATCTCTTGTGGATTCAAGGCCAACGTGGTCTACATAGTAAAGTCTACACCAACTAGGGCTAAATAGTGACATCTCCTTGAAAATAAACAACAAAAATTCTACCTAATGGGTCCTTTATAAGTTTCATGGCTGGGCTCAAGTGATTTAGCAGATCAACTACTCATAAAAGAAGTTAAAATAAAATTTATTTTCTACTGACTTATTTTTAACAGTTTTGTTCTTTGTTTTACAGATTTTCTAGTGAGTACAAGCTTTAGAGTTCACAAAAAAGATATATTAAAGGATTACTAACTAATTCAATGAATATTTAAAAATATCCATTTTCTACTAACTGACAACTAGCAGACATTTGGGAATAACAAAAAATAGGATAAATAATAAAATTTAAATACTCAATAATCCAGAGCAAAAACACTGCGTACTTTATTGTCATAGGACAGTTTTCCCATGACCAAGGGAAAAACAAAAACCTCAAAGATTTTTCCTAGAAACATGAGGTCAATTTTTAAACTTTGAAGTGAATGACATTTAACACATGAAAAATAGATGTGGACAAAAAAACTTGCTTTCCTAGGACTTTAATAAATTTTTTTAAAAAATTGCATTTATTCATTTTTTGTGTGTGTGCATGTGTGTGTGTGTGTATTCCTTCACTCATGGCAAGGCGGTCCTGCCATCCGACCTGCCCATTTTTACTAGATGACTTTGTTTTCAGAGAATAATCCTCTCCTACCTTTTTCTATTTTCCCATTTTTTTGTTTTGTTTTTTTTTGGGGGGGGGTGTCTTTTTGAGACAGGTCTCCTTGTAGCCCCAGTTGGTCTGAACTCACTACGTAGACCAGGCTGACCTTGAACTCACAGAGATCAGTCTGCCTCTGCCTCCTGAGTGCTGGGATTAAAGGTGTGCTCCACTATGCTTGGCTTCCCTTCTGTTTTGACATTGACTTTTTTTTTTTTTTTTTTTTAATATTTTGGATCTAACTTAGTGACAAGTACTCTGTGACTATCCCAGCAGATGTTTATTTAAATAAATCTTTTTTTGTTATTTTATGTATTTTAATTTTATGAGTATATTGCATGTGTGTAATTACACCTGTGTCATCCAGTGCCCACAGAGGTCAGAAGGTGGCGTTGGATCCCCTGGAACTGGAATTATGGACAGTTGTTAATTGCCATGTGGGTGCTGGAAATCAAACCCAGGTCCTCTGCAAGAGCAGTCAGTACTGAGCCATCTCTCCAGCCCCTTTGTTTAAGACAGAGGCTCCGATCACCCAAGCAAACCTTGAAGTCAGTATGTAGCCTGAACTGGCCTTGAATGTCTGATCCTTCTGCCTCTACCAAGCAATAGGGAGTGGGCTACCATGCCTAGTGACACTGACTTTTGAGAAGAGCCCAGGATAGTAGTATTGTGGAATGCTCCAGTGTTCTGTATTTATACTATTTGACTTGTTCTAGGCCTAAACTTTCCATTTTAGAAACACAAAGGGGCCTAGAATATACCCTGGCCTGCTACTGATTTTCCATCCCCAGAAGTAGCCTGTCCTTCAGAACATCAGCAATCTATAAGTTGAGCTCAAGCCTTAACTCTTCAAAGACCTGGCTAGTTTTAGGAAGAACCAATATTTAAATTAAATTGTCAGGAGAATGCCCATCTCAAGGTAATGCTGATTTCCCAGCAGCTCTTTGGCTTGCAGCAAGAAGCCTTTAAAGTGGCCTCCTCTTATGTGAATTTGCAGCAAGGAGTATCAAACTGCTTCCTCAAATGACTTCTATCTTTTGTCAGACAAATATCCTTCAGGGACAGTCCAGCCCCATACAAAATTGAACTCTGAAGAGCCTTCACAATAGATTTTAAAAAGGGGTGAAGGTATGTTTACTTCACTGAGACCCACTATTAAGATTGGAACTCCAGGTACTATTTGATCAGGTACTCAAATTCTGGCTTTGCTTTTCTAGGGCACCTTGCAGGGAGCTCTTCTGCTTGAACTTTTGCAAAGAATCTAATCTGGAATCTGTTTGATTGGTGTAAAATCTTTTTCTTTCTTTCTTTTTTTTTGAGACAGGGTCTCATGAATCTCTGATGACCTTGAACTTTGGATCCTCCTACCTTATGCAGTATCAGGCATGGAACCCAGGGCCTCCTGCATGCTAGGCAAGTGCCCTACCAATTGAGCTACATCCCTAGCCCTAAAAAGTCCCCAATTAATCAGACTATATTGGCTTACAGGAGTGTGCCATCCCTGTGCACTATTAATAAGCAGGTTTAGAAGGAATATATTAAGTATGGCACAATGGCATCTGTATCTCCACACAGAGATGACTTCTTATAAACACACACTGTTTTGGGCTGCTGCTTCTCTTGAATATAGATTTAAGAAACAAAAGTGCTATTTTGGGTTGGTTCTTCTCTTGAACTATAGATTCAAAAAACAAAAGTTTGGCCCTGGCTCACTTGTTCTGGGGGCCACTGACACAAGTCTTTAACAACATGATTGTTTTTCAAGTTCAGGTCACAATGCCTCAAATTCTCAGTTTGAGTACTTACTGAGTGAATGGCTCACCTCTTACATGTCTGGGGGATTTAACAAGGTAAACAAATGGGTGAACTGTGAAAGTAAACACTGTATTTCCTCCCAGGCTAATCCCAGTTGCCAGCATGCCCCTCATTCTCCTCCTCACCTTTCACTATCCTCTGCTTTCCCCAGGCTTGGTCTCTTGTACTCTGTAAAAGTACTGAAATTGTAAAAGAGACCTTTTTAATTATAAGTACTACAGTAATGAATTCAAGCACACTCACTTAGCATAAAGGGCTTTCCCATCTGTCTCTAAAGCATACTTAGAAATGCTGTGTATTTGATAACATTAGCACCAAGCGTTTTCCACATGTTCATGTCCCCCCTCCCACCTACAGCTCAGTGGTAGTTCCAGAAATAACACATTTATCTGTGTATTTGGAAGTGCCTGTGTGGTCTATTCCTAGTTTATTTGTTCTCCAGTCCTAGGGGATCCATCACAATCCCCCTAGGCAAAGGGAGATTAGTGAAAGGGGCTGTCTGCCTTTGCCCACCCTGCCAGAAAAGGCAAAACAACTTCCCAAGTCCCTCAAGTTCTTCTGGCCACTGTACAAATTGTTCTTGAGTGTGGAGAGTTTCCAAAAGCCCTAATTAGCAACTCACAGCAAACATTTCTTTGCATTAGCTAATGATCCGGCTACACTTGTAAGCAAACAGAACCAACATATCTAATCAATGATGAAAAACTAACGAAATGAATATTAACATCTGGATGCAATTTTCTAGTTAAAACAAAACGAAAACATATGCAGGTTCCTTTGATCTGCATCTTAACAAAGAAATTGTTGGTAAAAAGCATACTGGTCAGTCAATGTGTCCATTTTCATAAAGGTGGCTTGTTTGTCTTCAAATATTCCCAGTTTAATTTAGTTGGTTTCCTGCAACCCCTAATTTTACCATATTGTGTGAAACCGCAAGAGAGTCTTTGGATGTGATTTTATTTGAAGTTTTACTGTTGTATGGATCTGCTACTGATTCTCTTCATCTGCCATCTTTTCCCTTCCATCCTCAAGCTTTAAGAATGGGGTGGGGAACAAAGATGTTACAAGCAAAGCTGAGAAAATTCCTTCTGCTCTACTCTTAGATTTAAAAACAAACAAACAAACAAGCAAACAAAACCACTCAGTTAAAAAAAAAAGTCAAGCATTATGCCTACAATTCCAGCATTCAGGAGGCAGAAGAAGAGTTACAAATTCCAGGTCAGCTGGGTTTACATAGTGAGCTCCAGGCAACTAGGACAGCAAGTACAAGGCAAGACCAGTCTCAAATAAACAAAACAAGAAACCAAACAAAGGTATGTACACTGCAGTTGGTGAGCGCTTGCTTAGCATGCACAAAGGCCTGGGCTAGAACTCCATCATTGAATAAACACAGTGTGGTAGCTATTTCCTGCAATCCCAGCACCAGGAAGCAGAAGCCAGAGGATAAGGTCAGGAGAATCAGAAGTTTAAGGTCATCTTCTGATACTTGGTGAATTTGAGGCCAGCCTGGGTTACAAAAGACCCTGTCTCAAAACCAAAATAAAACAAGAAAAAATAGTCACAATTATTCATTTCAAATACTTACCTATGCTATGAGTTGAAAAATTGATAATTAGCAAGAAATGAATGGAAATACACCTATAGGTGCATCAAGATAAAACACACTAAGAATCTTTTGTTTTGTTTTGTTCTTTTGTTTTTTTTTGCGAAGAATAAAATGGATACTTTTTCCTCCCCAGGACAATTTCCTATGGAGGTGGTATAGTTAACATCATTTCATGTAAAAACATATGAAATATATTAAAGGTAAAGATATTATTATTTACAGATTTTAAAATAAAGGAACAAAAAACTGGACATGATGGCGCAGCCTTTAGTGCCAGCACTTGGGAGGCAGAGGCAGGTGGATCTCTGTGAGTTCCAGGCCAGCCTGGTCTACATAGTGAGTTCTGGGACAGTTGGGGCTACAGGGAGACCCTGTCTCAAAACAGATAATAAATAAAAATAAAACAAAATAACAAAGCTAGGCATAGTGGTGCATGCTTATAATCAATCCTAGTACTTGGGAGGCAGTTACCAAAGGACTGCTGAAAGTTCAAGTTTGAGGTCAGCCTGATTTACATAGTGACTTCCAAGGCAGTCTGATCTACAGAGTGAGACCCCGTTTCAAAAAACAAAACAAGACACACAAAAAAATGAAATTCTAAAATTACAGATTTCACTAGTAAGACTGCTTTCTTTTAAATAGGCTGCAGGCAATTGGCATATATATTACTCATTTAAAACCTAAGATTAAAGCTACTAGATTGTTTTAAACGCCATCATTTGTAATGCAATTTGATTAGAGTTTTGTAGTATAATTATTATAGCACAAGAATCATGGAGAACACATGACCTTGAAAATGAAAAAGGGCAAAGGCTCCTACTCAAGGAAGATGTCCTGAACAAGGTGCTTCAAAAACTAGTCATCTTTATACAAGCAATCAAAGGCCTTCCAATTTTAAAATCATTATGCATTCTTCTTTCCTGCAAATTGCATCTTAAAGAAATTAGAAGGGCTGGCCTGGTTTCAAACTCTATTCCTAACTGGGAACTAATCTGAGTGGACATACTTTCTGTGAACAGTTATCAGAGTATTTAAAAAGGCCTTGTGTTAGAATAGAAATGATTTGGAAGGTAGAAGGGGTCCGTACCAACAGTTTTGCTCACGTTCCTACACATATTATTTAAACTTAATTACTAGTGTGTCTCAGTAAGTGAAGGTACACCTGCCTAGTGTACCTTAGGGATGGCTCACCAGGGAGAAAAAGGTCTCAGAATTTGCACAACTTATCTGTGGCATCTAAACACTCCTTACCCAGCCAAGGAGCTGGTCAGATATACCGACCACAGATCAAATCACTGGATGATTTCAAAGACCAGTAGTTACTTGGGGATCAGATGCGTCAAAGTTCTGAAAGTGGGAGAACCCATTCAACACCAAACTAACCAAGGAAAGAGAGGCCTGCTTCCTTTCTTGTCATTCTCCATGTTAGGAAAACAAAATGAGTAGAATGACTCGGTTCCCATTTCCACTTTAGGAGCATACTCTGAAATCCCGGCGAGCCTGTTCAGGTCTTCATTGTGGCCTGCAGACAGGCTAGCACTACTCTTTCAGTTCTCATCTACAACGGACATTTGGGACTGCGCAGTTACAGACACATTAGTAGCATACCGTGAAATGTACTATCTCTTTTTTCAATATTTAAATGAAAAGATCTCTGTAAAAGCGAACTCACATCCGCTTAAACAAGCTCCTTTCAGTAACTCTCTATAGGGGAGCTCGTTAGCCAGGTTTCAAAATAAGATGAATGCTTGCCCAAGGTGTGCCTTTCTTTTGGAAGTTACCACCAGGAAGCTAAAACAGTACCACTCACTCCTCTCACATAAAATCAGCTCCATTAAATTCGTTAAAGAAAGTGTACATGTGGTAATACTGCACGATTTCTTCTGTGTAGATTATTTGAAACTGGAGACTCGGAACATTAGTTATACAGCATGTCTCCTTTTTTAAAAAACCCAAAGTTTGACCAAACAAGACCTTCCTTTAGTCGCTTCATTTATCACCTCTCTTATTTCGGCGGCTGGCGCACGGCGGCCAGGACTACATCCAGTACCCAAAGCCTCAGGGGAGGGCGGTCGGGTGTGGCGCTTGTCATCTCAAAGCGGGGCTGTTTCATTGTCCATTAGTTCCAAAAATTTGAAACTGACTAGTGGTCTTCTCGGTGAGAGGTTCCTAAAACTCTTGGCGACTCCCCCCGCCCCCCAAACAGCGAAGTCAAGACAAGAACCCGAATTTCTCGCAATGCGCAAAGCGTCTCTGCGCTCGGGCTACGGGTGCTACCACCGCCTGCACCTCTGGGATCTTTCCCGCCAAACCAAGACCGGCGGACCTTTCCCTAAAGCCTCTGAAATGTTCCATCGCGGGGGAAGGGGACCTGAAATCACAGTCCAGTCTTCCCGCGTAGGCGCACGCTTGCCAGCCAGCTGCTACGATGCTCACTTACGCTTTTCCATCAAGTGCACAGTCCGCTTCTCCGGCATCCGTGAAAAGGCAGCGGGAGGAAAAAACAAGCGTCGGAGAAATTTTTGAATACAACGTCACTTTGAGTAGCGTCAAGAAGGGGCGCCAGAACCGAAAAACGCACTTTGTTCTTGTTAAAAAGAAGCGTCCCCTCCCCACCTCCAACGGAAACCTGGTTTCAGTTACTTTCAGTGAGAGCTGAGTTTTCGTTAAATGAAAAAGGGAGCGAGTGGCGGATTCCTACCAACTTGAGCCCCCGGCTCCTGCCTCCGCAAGCCCACAGGTCGCTCGGACTCGCGCGCACTCGCGCGCTCCCGAGCTCCAGCCCACGTTACTTTGATTGACAGCCGGGCCCTCAGCTCTCCTTCCCACCGACCTTCCAATAGCCCGTGCCAATCTCAGCGCCTGGTCGCTTCCCATTGGCTGTCTGGGACGTCCCCCGCAGCTCCTCCCTATACCGCTCCCTTCGGAGCCCTGAGGACGCGCTGGCGGAGGAGGGGCGCAGGCGGGTGGGAGGAGCCCGGGGCGGAGGCGGGCCGGGGGGGCGGCAGCGCGCTGCCATAGGCTGCCGCAGGCGTCGCGTCAGCACCCCACGTTGGCGCGGCGCACGCGATTGGTTGAGCGGGGTCCACCGCTCTGGGCGCCCGTTCCCCCGGCGCGGCTCGGGCGGGGCTACGCTGGTTACTGCGAGTGTGAAACCGCGTGTTAATGTAAGCGGCTGAGAGGCGCGGGCGTAGGCTGCAGAGCTGAGGGGACCCGCGTCCCCAGCTTGCAGCGTCCCCGCCATCCCGACCTCGCCCGGCGTGCGCCCGGAGCCCGCCGGCCGCGCAGGGAGGCCGAGCGGCGCCCCTCTTCGTGGCGGGGACGTCTTCCACCGGTGGGTGAGAGAAGTTCGCTGCGGCTGGAGCTGCATGCCCTTCCCAGGGAAGAGCGGAGAGAAGCCGGAGAAGGAGCCCCGGTCTGGGTGCGGGGCTGCAGCTTGATGCCGGGGCTCGAGGCGTGTGGGGCGGTCGTGGGGCTGCACCGCGATCTGTAGTAGCGTCGGAACCCGAGGCCTCGTGTGGACGTGGATCCCGCGCGCCCCCGCAGTGCCCGTACCTCATCATCCCAGCCGCGCACCCAGCGAGGCTCCGGGGCGCCGGGCCCCTGTGCACCCTGAGTTCGTCATCCCGGGAGCCGAGACGGGGCTTTGCGTGTGGTTCAGCCGAGGCGCCACCTGCACGGCCCGCGCGGCGAGGACACTCGGCAAGGCCGCGGGGAGGAGCGGAGGTCTGGGTTGCTGAGCCCGCTGGCGCCGTGCGTCGCCGAGGGAGGCCCGGCCCGCGCGATGTTGCCCTGAGCGTGGGGGCGGTGCGCAGTGGTCAAGCGCCCCGAGCCACGCGGGCCTGCGCCCCTGCTGGCGCCTCGGTGGGATTCAAGTTGGAAGTCAGCGGGGGACGGAGCTGTCCGGGAACTCGGCTGTCTCCAGAGCGATGTTCCCGCAGAGCCGGCACCCTGTGAGTCGGATCGGGGCGGGGGGCCTCGCGTAGGCAGGTCCAGGCTCCCATCCCGTGGGCTGCGAACTCCACTCCGCAGCCGGGCCGCTCCCGCTGGGCGTCTGGACAGCCGGCCGCAGCTCAGCGCAGCCGCGTCCTCCCTTCCCGGGGCGGGAGCGCCCCCCCCTTTGTCCCTAGTCCCGGCTATTAACAGGTCCATGCGGCCCGGTCGTGTGCGGCCGAAGGTGGCCGCGGTCCCTCGGGACCGGAGCTTGAGTGCTTCGGCGGCCCTGCTGCAGCCCGGCTTTCTGGGGCCGGGTGACCCAGAGCCCGGCGCTTACCGTGCACGCTGCAAGCGGGTTGGCCTCTGAGCCCCGAAGAGTGGGGTCCCCCAGGAAGGCTGGTTTTCTCCATCTCCAGAGTGAACTGAGGTCTGCTTGAGGCTCTGTGTCCCACCACTTCTAACTTTATTTTTTATGTCCCGTCGGCTTCTCCCTCCGCTGACTTCTGCTGTATCCACGCGGCCGGCCGCGTTTCTCGTCCCTTGGTCCCCGTTGCTGGACGCTTCCAGACGCCGCACCAGGCTGCTGGCCAGCCCTTTAAGTTCACTATCCCAGAGTCCTTGGACCGGATTAAAGAGGAGTTCCAGTTCCTGCAGGCACAGTATCACAGGTGAGTGTCCGGCAGCTCTGGGTGGCCGTCTAGGGCCCCTTCTCACACGGCCCTGCTGGGAGGCCGGCTGTACTTCGTACTTGCTTCCAGGTGGTGGCGTGTGGAGTCACAGTTAAGACCTGTCATTCCTGTCACCCCTTTCTTGGCCCTTCCTGGGCTGCCTCTTCTGTTGTCTCCTCCTTCTCCCATTGTTTCTTTCCCCTTTGCCCATTTGCGGCTGTTGCAGGGAGTCCCTTTTCGTGTATTTAGGAGTTGCATGAGAACCGTCAATATTTGCACTTCCTTTATTTATTTTGCAACAGGCTGAACTGAAGCATTGGTTCAATCAATGCCTCAGCCCTAGAGTGTGGGTTCAGGAAAGCAAAGCCGTGTTGAAATCGCTATTTGCTATACTAGAAAATTGGGTCGTCCGAGACAAAGTCCGTTAGGGAAGGCTAGATGCATGTAACTGTACCCATCGTGGGTGGTAGGCAGGAGGATGTGGATAATGTGTGCTTTCCTCACTCTGTTGGGGGGCGGTGCTGGATACGGTAGGGGAGTCGAGTCACATTTGTATTCACTTCAGTCTTAGGTTTTTTTATGTAATACCTTCTTCAAAGGATTTATAAATGTAAACTCTTGGAAAAGTACCCATGTATAGTAGATACTTCAGAAAGGTTATTTGCTTTGCTACTGTTGGGTTTTGCCTCACTGGAGCTAAGAAATATTTTGAAGGCAATTTTTACTTTTGTCATGGTTGAGAAAAAGCACAAACATGAGGCTAGTGGCTTGGGTATGAAGTCTCTTATTTGTCAGGGACTTTCTGAGTTCTGGCCTTTTGTCTACTCATAGATAATATCTTTAGAGCTGGATGTATGCTTGCTTACCATGTTTACTGAACAGAGGGAGAACTTCAACCCACTCCATTGCAGTAGCTGCTTGTCATATTTTGGCAGAGATTTAAAAACCAAAGGCTTTGGAAAGGACAAGCCATTGTAGAGGTAACTTTACCAGTCAGGTTTTTCCAACCTGAGGACTGACTGTGCTGCAGAATGACGATGGTGCAAAGGACACGTGAATTCTTGGTACAGGGACATAGTAGAAGGTGGAATCTATTTTCATAGTTTTTTTTTTTTTTTTCATTCTTGGTATCTTACCATAACTTATGCCCCAAGAACAAAAAATCCCAGTTAGTTGAATGGATATGCTACGTTCTTCACCTTAATTTTTTTTTCCCAGAGTAAATACAAAGACAGAGGGTGTTTTCCTAGCTTATGATTTTTCCAAATTAGTCTTTGTTTTTGCTTGAAGTGCAAATATGTGAAACAGATGTTAAAACAAGTGACATAATGTTTACCTTAAATTGCCTGTTTTGTTTTCATAGTCTTAAATTGGAATGTGAGAAACTTGCAAGTGAAAAGACAGAAATGCAACGGCACTATGTGATGGTAGGTATCAGAGATGGGTCCTTTTCTTTTTGTATAGTAAATAGGAAATGTGTTCTTACTATAAAAATGTGAGTTAGTGAAATGCTTCATTCTTCTCTTTACAGTATTATGAAATGTCGTATGGATTAAACATTGAAATGCACAAACAGGTAAGATTTAGTTGACTCTCAAGCTAAAGTAACATATCAGTGCGTGGGATTTTACAATACTGGGTTTGTCTTATGGCCTGTGGGAGTGGGTATTCATAAGCTGTTTTTCTTCTCTTCTGCAAGTTGGTCGTAGTACTTTGCACCAAGGATTGCTTCTTTACAATGACAAGACTAGTTGAGGTGGTTTGAAAATGCTTACCAGCAGACAGGAGCTGAGGTTCCACATGGGTAGATTTATTCTTTAAATAGCTAGGATGTCTTGTGGACTTACTGAAGTTCAGAACAGTTAATACTTTGTGCTTTTTGAGAAGGAAATGTAGACTTGTGCAGGGAAGTAGGAGTAGGGGTACTTTGGAGTCTTTTTTTTTTTTTTTTTTTTCGGGTAAAAAAAAGTTCATGCTTAGAGACTGGAGTTTTCTGGTAATGCCCTGACCCTGGAAGTCAGCCTGAGTTTTCTGCAGGACTTTCAGAAATACCAATTCTCCTTGATCTGTTAATGACATTATTGTCCAACCTGCCTTTTAGTGGCATTCCTTCCTGCTTTTGAGAAATTTTAAAATTTTTTTTTGGAGTTTTTTTTTTTTTTTTTTTTCAGGTTAAATAGATCTATCTATGACTTTGGAGTGTTCTTTATGCATTGAGGCTCCATAAAGCGACCCTTGAGGTTACTGGCTTATTAGCAAACATCATTTTGAAAAATTTCTCAGTTGATGCAGATTTAGAGGTGGAAAAAGCATCCTTTTATATGGCCACAGAATATGCTGGGAGTTGCTAAGGTCTTAGTGATTTTTAAGAGCATGAAAAGATTAGTGACTGGAAAGCTTTAGCTTTGACTTGAGTTTGCAAGTTCCCATAAAATTCACACTTATGGCTACTATAATGGTATATAAAAAGAGTATTGAGCTGGAACAAGACACTAAGGACCTCATAAGAGAAGAAAAGCTAAATGATTGCTCAGCCCAAAGGACCCTCAATTGAGTGGTCATTGTCTGCCAAAGAAAGCATTAATGGCAGGGTGTAAGTATTCTGGAGATATGCTGACATTCGCTTTTTCATCAAGATGCTAGTACAATAAGTCTTTTAGAAATCGATTGCCTCTTAAAAAATTATCATCAGATGAAGTTGCACAGTTGGACACATTTCAAAGTGCAAGAATACAATTCTAACTTGATGTGTATGTGCTATTTCATCTCGAACCCTTGTTTCATTAAATTAAAGAGCATGGCTGACCGACTGGGGCACAGTGGAGAAATTGATTAGTTCAGCCTTCAGATCTTCCTTATATTCAAAGACTTTCATTAAATAAGTGTGTTTCAGAGCTGAATTCTGCTTTTGTAATTCTGCATTCTTTGATTTTTAATTCATCATAGATTTCATAATGTTATATACATTACGTCTGTTTTCAGATACATGTTTGGAGAGAGCTAAGTTCAGAAGCTTTCCTTAGTAATGCAACTGGCCTTTTCCTTTACTCTGATTTGCAAAAGTGGTAGTTTATGTTGGGGTCGTTTTTGTGGATTTCTATAGCTAGTGCTTGCTGATATATTTATTAACTTGGTGGTAAGTGAGCTAGAAGATCTGTAGCTGTCTGTAATCTATGGCCATTTAAGTTAATTACGTAAATAAACTTGGTCTTCGAGTTCTAACTGCATCTTTTTAAGTTGCCCTGTAGGGTATTTTCTTTTTTCTAGCTAATATTCTGAAAGAGTAAGAGGAGGCTGAACTTTTTCTTAAGACATAAGGATTTAATAACCTTATTGACTCTTATAAGAGAACACTTCCTCTGTGTGATGTTATATGTTGGTGCTGGGTTTATTGGGAGAGCAAAAAGAAGTGTGTAATTCTGGGGTCTGGGTGACTCTTGATTTATTATGTAGAGAGAAGGGAGAAGGGGCCAGAGAGGTTGGAGGTCCCCTGGTGGGAGGAAAGATTTCAAATGGGGTTTTTGTACTGTGTTGTTTTGGGCATTTGTACACCTACACTTTACATTCATATGACAATATGTGTGCATAATATGCTGTGTGTAGTTGGTTCAGTAATTCAAAAAAGTGAAAAACGAAGAGACACTATATTCTTCTTCATAGTAAAGTATTAAGCCTACTGAAATTTAGTTTATTTTGTAAATGCTGACAGACCCTTAACTAGAGTGGTGTGCAAAGTTATGCTGTAATTCAGTTTAAAGTGGTCTTACATTTGAAAAACATCCTTCTGAATGTTATACATTAATAATAAGTTTTGAGGAGGCATTTGGTGCTGCTTGTAATCATAATTCTTATTAAAACTAGTGACGTGTGGCCCCCAGGGTATAGGCAGTCTCAAATTGATGCTTTTTGCCGCCTGATCAGCAGCATGGCCTAAGTGCTCATTATATTGTAGAGAGGGCCTTCGGAGCTCTTATTAGATTTGACAGGAATTCTCTCTAGGGGGAAACTGGGCATTAGCTAGACTCCTGACAGGCTGAAATTATTCCTGCTTTATGGCTTATAACCAAATGCTAGCAAAGTATCATCAGGGGACACAAAAAATTGTCATTTCTGACAACATCTTTGTTACTGAAAAAAGTGTAGCAGTGGGGAAACTTTCCACAGTGAGAGCTTTAATGCCGTTAAGATTTGTCTCCAGTATAACACAGCTCTGCCTTCCCAGCTTTCAATGGCTTTGTAGGGAGTGAATTTAGTGAGCTTGCTGTCAGAACTCAGAACTCACCACCAACTTGAGCTTTCTTTCTGAAAATTTTAAAATGGAAGTGCATCCAAATCAAGAGTGGTATAATTGTGGTTTCTTTACTTGGTGTGGTGTCCATAGACCATGTTTATGTTCTGTCAACACTTCCTGATAAAACCTTTCCTTTGACTTTCTCTGCCCCATTCTGTGGCCAGTTATGAAAAAGGCAGCCTATTGAGACAATTTTTCTCTGCCTCCTGAGTGGTGGGATTAAAGGCTTGCACCACCACACCCAGCTTCCACTGGGGCTTAATAAGCCCCTGCTGCCTATCTCTATCTATGTAGTTGGTAAATTCTAGCTATTTCTAAGCAACAGAGAAGTGGAATGTTTTTGTGAAAAAGCAAGGCAATTCTGAAACCACCAAAATGTTGAATATTACATTGAAAAATAGCAAATTGGTTGTAAGTCTGGGTTTGAGGGCTGAGCCCCAGTGTCTTTTTTTTCCCATCCTGTAGCTTAATATTATCTCCTTTGATATTTTTTGGAAGCAAGAGGTACTGTAAATATATATAAGCTTTATCACCGGTATATGTTTTCTATATGTTGGTAAAGACAGGCTATAAGCATGGTGTGGTGGCACATGCCTGTAATACCAAGCTATTCTAGAGGCTGAGGCAGAGGGGTTTCGAGTTTGAGGCCAACCTGAGTTGTACAATGAGACCTCCCAAAAAAAGGGCCAGGGGGAAGGGCGAGTGTGCAACTGTAAATTGTGTTTCCTGTCTTAGATTTTACACTTTTCAATGGCAAGCAGTTTGTCTTCTGGGTTCTATCACATAGGCATGTTGAGAAGTAGGCTGGGTGTGATTTTGTTCTACCTTGCTGTGGGCATACATCTAGCATTTGGACCTTCAGCATCTGTTGAAGCTTTAGCTGGGGTTGCCTGGTCCATGGTTACCAGAGTTGCTTCCTATCTTAACCATACTGCTTTTGGAAGAAAAAAACCCATTGCAAAATCACTGTTGGACGTCTGTGTCCTGACCAACATCTCTTTAGCTGTGTGTTCCTCTCTGTGTTGATTAACTTCTTCACAATTTAGAATACAAAGCAGGTGGCTAGGTGAATGTTCTAGAAGTTAGGGAAATCAGCAGTGCTGATTTTCTGTGATTTGAGATCTGTGGGGGTCTCATGGGTAGATAGAATGTATCCCACTTGTAATACTGTCCTGATCCTAAATTGTGTTTAAGAATGGGAAAAACATGGGAGAAATCTTGAAGACTGTGACTATCTGAGCAATCACAGACCATGTGACTAGTGGATCACTGGCATTGAAGGTTGCCTTAGAAGGAAAGATAATTCACTGTGCAAGTCTGGTTTTGGGTGTATTCCCATGCCTCAGATGATATTTCCAGCAATATAAATTTTAGAGTAAAATTGTTTTTACAATTTTGATATGTGTTTTAAATTTTTGTTACAAAATTATTTAGTGGGCTTTTGTGTATGTTTTCTGTTTGTTTAAGTATTGAGGTGGAACTTGTAGGGATTCTTCGGAGGATTATGGAAGGGGGCATTTACTATTTTCCTGTAAGGTTTATCTTTGTTACTACTTTCTTTTGTTGTTCTTTTGAAATAGGGTCTCCTGTAGCACAAGCTGGCCTCAAACTTATTCTGTAGAGGAGGCTTGCCTTGAACTCCTGATTCTCCTGCCTCCACTAAATGCAGTGCCGAGATTGTAGATGTGGGCCACCATGTCCAGATTCTTCTACTTTCAACTGTGTTTTTGTCTGAAGTTCCTTGCTTTGAGATTTTAAAAAATTACATTCTATTTATTTTGTGTGCATGGATGTGTATTGGTGAGTGTAGCAGGCTTCCTTACTCAATAAGCCATCTTACCAGGCCCCAAGATTTTTTTAGGGCACTGCTGAGAATGGAACCCAGGGCCACCACACATGCCAGGCACAAGATGGGCCACCACTGTGCTGCACTCTGCATGCAGCCTAGAGATTTTTTTTTTTCCAACTCAGAATAACAGACTTAGAAATGACTAACTGAAATGCATGCATTTAGAGTTCAGCTCTGCTAGGTGTTAATCGCCTTGTAATACAAAGGGTAGCTGTCATCAAGATTGAAGTGGTCCCTAACTTCATTAGCCAGCCTTATCCTTTACAAGCCTAAATTCAGTGAGATAAAGCTGGTGTCTTTAAGGCCTAGATTCTGAGGTGTGAGATTGGCCTGCTGGGTTCTTTTTTTAAATCAGCAAGCAGGGCTAATTTCTCACTACTTAACAGTTTCTTCCCCAGAGCTTCAGCTGCTTTCTGTCCAAGGCCTGTACTGGAGT